GACGTGTTCTGGTATTGCTTGAAACCGGACATAGGGGATTCAAGTGCTGGTACAAATTAGCCCATCGAGATCTTTATCCCGATTGCTTCATGTGTGGCGTCATAACATGCGTGGATTTTAAAATTACACTGCTTTCGTAGATAACCTAATATTTTGTGGTGAATGCGCACGCTTTCGCATGCAATCACACGCTCTCTCCAGCTGATACTTCGTTGCTTTTATGATGATCGTGGCAGTCGTGGATCAAATTTTTGAACAGAAGCGAATGACAAGAGTAGCTTTGGCTCCATCTCCAGCGCTTTGATAACTGTTCTCTTTTCAGGCATTCATTGTCCGCTCCTATTTTGATCACGGCAGCCGTGTTGAAGTACATCTAAAGTCTGGTATTGAAGCACTTCGTTCCTCTACACGTTTCTAAGCAGTAATTCGCTAGCGCCCCAGAGCAATTCATGAGCATACTTATTTCTCTTGGATGGCCACGATTTTACCTAAGATTTGCTGTTTTACAGATCAGCAATGACCTTGAATCGAGCCAATAGGGATTATTCCATATTGCCGAATTGCGTGCTCTCATCGATCTCGGTACATATGACTTAAAGCAATGGTGATTTGGCAGTTGGGGTAAAACTGCTGTACAGGAATTCCTTTGTGGCAATAACATAATCCTACTCATTGTCAGAGCCCTTGTGACTGCGTGTGGAATAAAGCATGGCATTCTACAAACCCTCATGATGAAGTTCCTGCCGATTTTTGGCCATATAAATTGGCGAAGCTATCAAATTATTTTAACAATGAGCCTGGTGCAAATTATGAAGAGATGACTAGGTTTACATGATTATTCTTGTCAAGGATTATTCCTTTTCAGTAGCTACCTTTTATAGCGTACTGAATCAGCTAAAAGGGACACGAGCGAAGTCATTGGGGGCAGAAGGCGTTCGTGGTGCACCGTCGAAATGTAACCAGATTTGCGTCACGATAATATAATGGTAGAACAGAAACGGGCGCTGTCATAGCAGCGAACTATATTTACCACAGTAAAGCGTTTATACGCGTGTATTGGCGGAAAACCTGACCGTATACCCAATCAACGATCGGCTAAACCTGTCTGCAGTATCCTAAGTAGCAAAATTAAGCACTGTTACTTATTCATTTGTCCTTCAAAAGTTGCTACTTGGTAAGCGGGAGGGATCATACGTTACCGCTTTTCTCCTACACTGATGATGACATGGTGATGCCTGCATTTTAGTGGCATCCAGAACCAAACACCCCACGTGAGCATAGCCAAAATAATCCGTCCTCAGCATCCAATCGTAACGCACCCACCAACAGAACAGTAGGATTGGTCTGACAGCAACCCTCCCTAAGCCAATAAACTCGCGCACAGGGCTATCGATCGCGCCAATACAGGTGCGCGCAAGCGCGCTAGAACTTGGCAAAGTGCGCACGCGTGCTTCTGCGGCAGCAGTTGGTTGTTTGAATGCACGTACGCAGCGCACACCACTGCGCGCGTGCACGCACACTATCGACTGGAGGCGCTGGCGGTGCTTGCGTTGGCATTCCTGCTTTCATTTTTCACTTAGCCAGCACCGAAGTTAAGTGCTGCTATGTCGGATTATTTCTACGGCAGAAGGCCCACTAGCCTTGCTAGCACATTCAACGAGCGAGCTGGTCCGAGGACATCCGACGATCGGAGGTTTCATCACCCTGTTAAACCGGCACAGCGCACCCCTCACTATGCTCAAGTGAGTTTCCCAGAGTACTGATATTAGTTGCTCTTTGTTTTCCGCCGTGGCTCGTTTATATTACCTGGGGAGGGGGTCTACTTTCGATCACTTAAGTAAAAGGCTCAGAAATGACACTGGTAGGTTGAATTCCCAGTTAGTCCTTGGTGCACGTACACTGATTTGTTGGCACGGAGTCAGAGAGGACAATGGAACATCTTTTAAGTGAAAGCCAATCAACATATTTAAGTGAGCGTTCCATGAATGACGTTGATTCGACGAGATCCGTGGAAAAGCCAGAACAAGGAATTAACACCAATCAGTCAAGACCACAGAATGCACTGACATCCGCAGTCAATTCGTCGCAGAGGTTGTTTACGACGAGGCAACAATGTTGGAAAATCATACCAGGATCTTTGAAGCTCGTTATGTCCCGTTTAGAGTGATCTTCGGCACGCCTTACATCGGTGGTAAAGGATTGAGAACCTTGTCATTGATCTCAAATTCCAAAATCTTCGAGTTTTTAGTACCACAAGCAGACGATTAATTACAAAAGCAGCTTAATTTATGCAGTACACGCATTTTATCTCGTTTTCGCGCGCGTGTGTGTGTGTATGGCAAATCTGAACTCAAGCGTACAGAACAGGTCACTATTTGGCCTTAACCAGCGTTATCTGCAGGTATTACGACTCGAAAACACTACCATTTAAGTGGTAGGGTATTTTTGTCTAGTTGTTTAATAAGTTATATTGTGATATTCTAGGCAAGGTGAAAGCAGCGTGAGAATTTAGCCATCTGTGTGAAATCGAGCTGATTTTGATTACAGCATCCATATACCATTAGTGCATTCAGTTCATACGACATGATTCGTAGCCCCCTTTAATGACTTTTACCTCGGATGTTATTGGTTTAAAATACACCAACCACAAGATCCAACGGTGGCATGGCCTGCACAGACACAAACGGGTTTACTTGATCTGGAGGCACCGCCCACAAAATCGTCGTTAGTGGATGTGATTTGTTGATTCTCTCACTCAAAAACTTGCCGCTTCCTTGACCTCTTATGATCCCCTTGTGTTCTGACAGACACAGGCACCTGAAGCTAAAGCCGACGATAATTTCCTCACCGAGGTGATCAAGAAGTTGTAAATCGTTTGTGGTGATTGTCGAGGCGGTAACGAGTGTAGAGTGATGTGACTTTCACTTTTGGGGGTACACTGATTGCGAAGTAAACCGGGTATTATCAATACGACCCAGAAGCCATTATTTTCCTCAAGTTAAATTAGTTGTAGGCGCGGTTTTCGTACAGCTTAAGAGCCTAAATGGAAGCCCTAGGGATCAGACGAAGCTGCCCTGAGGACGTCTTTTCAACACGATAACTCATCAAATTTTCCTCACTGTAGCACCATCTGTCTTGTCTAGAAGGTTATTAGCTTCGTCGTGGTGAAATTTCTTGCGTGCTTTATCCGCCCACACTGCATTTTAATATCAGGTTTCGGAACTGTACCCGATGCAAGCCCGTTCCGACAGTCCCAGTGATTTTCGCTACCGCCCTACTGCCGATATAACGATGCCTGAGTCGAGCTTGCTTGGTTCCAGTCACGGACGCGTTGGAGGTGGCGGTGGCGGTGTTGCCATTCCAGTTGTCCATCTCAGCTCGCCATCTAGCTTCTATCCTAGCCGCGGCTCCGTCTCCAGAGCCGCCGCCGCCACTGGACCCGTGACCAGTGGAACCACCCGAAGTGGAAGCGGTAGTCTCCTTCGCAAAACCACACAGGTCTCTAGTCCCACGTTTCCTTCCGATCCCGAAGCTGAAGTTGACGCTCTCACCAACGTCCTCATTCAGAGAATGGAGACTCCTCGATCCGGTGGTATCATGTCGCCACACGAGGCGAGTTCTGATGGAACTGCCTCGCCAGGTGAGTGTTTTCGAAGGCGAAAGCGAGGGTTCATATACGTCAAACAAGGTTATTTTATTGTCCAAATTACCTTAAACAGAGAAATGTTGTCTTAAAGTATGGGGCTTCAGAATTTTCTCTTGATTTCGCCTTCCGGACGCAATGCAATTGACCTCTTTCAGCGGGAAGCATTCAACGTGGCGGCGGCGGCGGCTCCGTGTCGTCACGAATCGGTCGCCTACAGCAACAGCAGACTCAACAACGCGTTGGATCTCCCAGCACAATGAATTTGAGCTCAGCCAGCAACAACACCAACAACGGCAGCCCACTCACCATCGGCAGTCCTCGGACCTCGTCGCCGACCAATTCCTCCGGTTCCAGTGGTGTGGGGGACTCGTTCCTGCAAAACAACTGTTTCCGTTGTCAAAAACCTCTAGTGCCACCGGAGGGCACAACCCTAGGCCCTGGCATCAATCCCCCACCGATCGTCACCTTGACTGGGGCTCTCGCCGTTCGCTTGCACGAGGCCTGTTTCACTTGCTACCTGTGTCGAACGAAGTTGAACCCCGAGGGCTACTACCACAGCGTTCGCCGACTGCTCTGTCCAACATGCGTGCGAGATGGCGCCGTGGAGTCCTGTGCTAAATGCCGACGTCCAATAGGTAAGCGTGAGCTCCATCCTGTTCAAAGATTGGTTAATTCGATGGGGAACGACGTTCGTCATTACAAATAATCAATATTCAGGTGAGCGAGTCGTGAGGGCCCTTGGAGCGCCCTATCACCCGAGCTGCTTCGTGTGCTCCATGTGTCAGACCCACCTGGACTCCAAGCCCTTTACACTGGACGTGCACGACCGCCCGCTGTGCCTGGAGGACTTCCACAGACGCTACGCTCCGCGCTGCGCCGTTTGCAGTCGACCAATCACTCCGGAGGCGGGCTCGCAGGAGGCACAGCGTGTTGTGGCAGGCGACGGCGACTACCATCTCCGCTGTTACGGCGTCAGAGCCCCAGATTCTGCCAGCACCACTCCCACACCTTCCATGGCCGCCGCCTGAGCAGCCCCTCTACCTCTCCCTTAGTTTTTTCCGCATCACGCTCACACTATCACGATGTTTCGCTCACTGACAACAATATACGCAAATGTGCTCGCACCTTAAATGCATACTGGGCGATAAGCAATCGCCCAAAAATCGTTGCTTCGGAGTAGAAAAGGTTTGTGGTTGGTGGGTTTTTGAGGCTGTACGATGTCGCTGTGTGCGTGTGATTGTGGAGGGCTCTGAACGGGAACCAATGAGGGGCAATGGCTAGACACCAATCAGATTACAGTAATTTCGTTCGATCAGGCTATCACCCATTCCCTTATCTAGTAAGGCTCTTGTTTAGCTTCAAGTGGTGACGGTGATTCTCATTTGGAACCGCCGATTCCTTGTGGAACGCGTTGCCAACCATCTATGTCGGCGGTGTTCAGTTGAACAGAATACATCAGATGGGGCATCCACCGCGGTCACTTCTACACGTAGAGGATTCGAGTGGGAATGAACCCGGTGTCGGACCAAGTTCGTTGAAAAACTTCCATTGACAAAATTCGGATTCTCTCGAAAGGGTGTGCAGCGGCCGAGTTTATCACCACGACACAACCCTATAGATAACAGCCGGTCACAAAGCGAGAAGAGAGAAGACAGAGCGGACAGAAACCACGACCGTTTATTTGCATCAAGACAGTTAAGTCTAGTCAAGTAAAATCGTGAAACTAACTTCTGTGTGCGCATAAATACCCGTGCGTCACAGGCAACTGCTAACAAGAGCCAATAACAAAGAGGGTGAGTCATTGATACAGTCGGGCAAATGTGCGCGCGTCACTCGCACACGGTAGCTCTCTGCCCAATAGAGTTCGCGCACAAAAAAATCGATTGATTTGTGGTCGCTCACGAATGCTAACTGTGCTGGCTTGCTGCTCGCTACAGGTACTTTCGTTGTGGAGGGATTTTGTTGGATTAGGCTACATCTACGCGAGTAAAGGTCAAGGTCGAAGAAGTTACTTCAAGTCAATCCACTTAGAAGTGATGAGGCCATCATCGTTGTCATGGCTACAAATGACGTCTCCCAGAGCCGGAATTCGTGCAGAGACATGACTATTGGTCGGTCACTCGATGGAGGCAGACTTAGTTCTATCATAAATTTAGGTTAATATACTAAAAAGATTGGCTATTTTCTGGTGGTTGCTATGACAACGATTTCAGTTACTTTGGCACATACAACTTATCTGGGGGGGGGGGGAAGCCAGTAGGAGGAAGAGATTTGGAAAAAAAACTCGGTGAGCTTTGGCGTTTGTGGAGGTAATTGTGCGCTTAGATGAGGTAGACGAGACGTGCGCTAAAACACCGCTTTTCATCTGTCAGAAGGCCTTCATGCGCAGATACAATTGCGTCAGGGGGTCGGTATTTGCATATGGATTGCGTTGATTGCGACGTTACCACCCACAGACTCACCTTCAAACAACTCGCACTGCCAGCCCCCCACCACAGTTAATCAAAAGCACAGGAGTGACTAACATGATGTTCAACCTCTCCTGACGAATGTCATTGGTGGATTGTGGACTTCCAAGAAAATGTGGATGCATTTCGCTGAATTCGCAGATCCCGTGATCCAAGTGGCGTGTCATTCGTTCGGTGTAGTGCTAATCTAAACCATCTGACGTCATATGTGTGTGTGAGAGAGGTCGTGCTGTTTGTTAAGAAATAAAAATTGGTCTCCAAGCGCTTGGAGAATGCAATTTCGACTGGAAAATCTGAAAGAGGCGTTGTCTTGAGATACCGATACACACGAACGAAAAAGTGCGCTGCGAGCCTATACCACGCGAAGTACCCAAGGGAGAAGTAAGACTAGAGGTGACAGACGCGACCGTTTACTAGACAGCTCGACCGAATTGTGTTGTTTGCGTGTTTAAGATGCAATGCATGAGTCATGTGTTTTGCTGACTAATGTGGTGGTGGTGGTGGTGGTGGTGGTGGTGGTGGTGGTGGTGGTGGTGGTG